GAAAAGAAAAGAAAAGAAAAGAAAAGAAAAGAAAAGAAAAGAAAAGAAAAGAAAAGAAAAGAAAAGAAAAGAAAAGAAAAGAAAAAAGACATTTTTGAATTAGGTCAATGCCCATAGACTCAAGTGATTCATTTGTGTGCTTTTTTTTTGGTAAGAAATACTTAATACTTCCTGGATTTACAAAAATTCATGATATTTTGTTTTCTGAGTGAAAAGTCTTAGGGAAAGGAACATCAAATGCATGAGGTTGAAAATGTAAAAAATAAATAAATAATAGATATAGATAATTTGATCACATAAGATCTATTGCTCAATCCATATATATTTTGGGCCTGTTTAGGAAATAGTACCTGCAGGAATCTTATGGACAAACTTTTACTCCTGAACAACAGATTGTGATTCACAGGTATAGAAATGAATATTTACCCTGAAGAACTCGTACAACTACTAATTCCATTCATTCTAAAGTAGTGTATTACATTTTGCTTAAGTCTATCTAATGAAAAATTGGTGTATTATCTAACCTACCATTTTGATTTGAAACCTTCCCTTCTGGGCATGGAGGACAGTCATAGCAACAGAATTGTTTTCCTTCAGCTCCTTTCTTCCAGGATCCAGGGGAACAATGGTCATTACACTGAGAAAGTGGAAGAACCTGTTCATAAACATGAAACAAAAGGAGATTTTTAAACAGGGGTGAAAGAATTCTTGACTTCCCAAAGGCTAATACATTTTATCTAGTTGGATTTATACCATACTTTAAAAAGATGTTGAAATTAAAAGGATGCGCAGAAAGGCCTGCTGAAGAACAGCAGGGTGAGTAAATACATGTACATTATGAGAATGTTATGGAAACTATGGGACTCCCTTGATTTCAAATGGAATTTCAACTGAAAGATGAAAACCCAGCATTTTCATTATAATGTCATTTTGTTAATTTGGTAAATGCTTGATCCTGGACAACATTTGTATACAATATCCCCTTTTTTTTTTCTTTCAAAAAGAGATAGTAGATTTCTAAAGGCACTATGTTC